GTTTCTAGTTATAAAAAAAACTTTATATACTTTTTTCCACTTGAACTTCAAAGCCATCTGTGAGGTAGTCTATTAATTTGCATTTAGCAGACGAAGAAATCAAGGTTCAGTGAAGTTCAGTCAACACTCTGCAGAAGTGCCAGAGCAGCCTGTCCTTCCCAATTTCCAATGCAGTGTTCTTCTCACTTGTCTATGAAACCTATACCAAGGAAGGTCTCCCCAGAACAAAGGTTCTAGTCCTCCCTCACTGCCGAGGAACAGGCACGCTTTCACATCTGTCTATAGCCAAAGTAGAAGGAGCCTTGTGGTACCGTCTTTCTCACTAGCCTGTTTCCCTGTCTCAGTGCCACAAAGGTTTCTTTTTTCACAGAAGCCAATTTCTGTAGAAACCATTTAAAGAGGCAGGAAGTGGCACATTTCCTCACTTATGTAGGATGTACTAAAGTGTGACTTTTTTCCTTTATTACATATGTGACTATTTTATTACATGTGTACATTTATGTTTGGGTTAGCTTACATTTTTAAGGGTAAAAATCTCCTAAGAGTAAAGACAAGAGGACTGGGTTCTAGACCTGGCTGCTCTATGATCTTGGATAAGTTATCTACCCTTTGTAGACTTCAGTTTTCTCATCAAGAGGATGAGTTGGACTAGGTGATCTTTTCCCTCCAGCTCTAATATTCCATGATCCTGTGAGATGGGCATATTCAGTATGCCACTGTTGGTTGTGAAGTATTTGCTGAAGGAATGATAAATGCAGTTTAAATATTTTGAGAATGGCTACTGGGATCAAACGCAGCCAAGCACATCGTCAAAAGCACTTGGCTATATTCCATCACTTTTGCCACTGGGATTTGGAAGAATAGCTAAAATGTATGTGTCAACACACTCTATGTGCTTCTTTTAAATATTAAAAATAAACTGTAGCAAATGTTTTTACTTAGTTTGTACATTTGAAAATTACTGATCTCCATTTTGCTCTATATTAACCTCATTTATTTATTGTCTAAATTATGGTAAAGAAATTAGTTTATGAGTGAATTTCCTTGAAAACTAAAGATTACCACATGTAAGTGCATAAGTAATTTTAATATAAAATATTTTCAACAGAGGATATTAGAAAAATAAATTGCATATTCTCCTGCTTCCTTACCCAGGGTTCTTTACCTCTTCTCAATTCCATCAATTAATCAAACAGTTATTAAACTGTGTTAGACTAGATTCCAGTCACTTGAGTGATACTCAAAGGGCCCACAGGAACGCCTAGATCTGTGTGTTCCTCTACTGAGTGTGCATAGACTGCTGTGCTGAATAACCCAAAGCAAACAGAAGACCTTGTCTCCTTATATTTCCTCTTGCTACCTGTTATATCTCATGATTTCCTGTGAACCAAGTGAGCTCTAATATGCTCCTATATTTTAGGTAAATGGCTTGAGAATGGCTTCATCTTTTCAATTAAGCTGAACTACAGGTTTCATGACACCTGTCTTACAATCAGAAGCTATTTCCATTTATTTCCAGGCTCATGGATATGTTCCATATGGTGGTGTTGCTAGAAGGCTGATTTGTAGACAAGAAGAATTTTCCCTTCAAATCTTCAAGTTAGATATTATATATAAAGGAGCTCTAACAATTATAAAGCTGTACAAAAGAATAATCATCATTACCCCTACAACTATGATTCCAAACTTATCAGAAAAATGTACAAATTGAGCTCTAAAACTTCACTTTTGACAAAATAATCACTGCATATACTCAAATTTCCTTACTATAAGAATATGTGAAACATGTAAATTTCTACAGGAAGATGTGCACATACAGATGAATACAATAACCTTGAGGCAGTTAAACAATTTGAATATTCTAAAATATTAAATACTAGTACCTATTATGAAATATTTTAACCCTTTCACATGTCAGTTGTATTTTAACAGGAGAACAGCAATCTCCTTTTTTTTTTTTTTTTTTATCCTCACCTGAGGATATTTTTCCATATTTTGTACAGATAGAGTGGGAGGGAGAGAGAGGAAGGGAGAGAGAGAGAGAGAAACATCGACGTGAAGGGACACATCGAGTGGCTGCCACCCGCACGACCAACCAGGGCCGGGGACAAACTGCAACCGAAGTACGTGCCCTTAGCGGGAACCGAACCCGGGTCTCTCCAGACCGCAGGCCGACGCTCTAACCGCTGAGCCAAACCGGCCAGGGCGAGAACAGCAATCTCTTATGTGAATTTTTATATATTCAATGGAATCATTTGAGTTTTGGAATCATCTTATATATAAGCCACAAAACAAATGATATATTTATTTTTTCACTGTTTTCAACAAATACTCGTATGCCTTGCATTCAGACTCGAGGAGAGAAACTTCCTCTCCTAGCCAAGTGTTTCTGCACAATGGTCTTCACTTTAGACCTCCTGATGTTGCCAATTGATAGAATCCTTCAGAGACAACAGAAGGCCAATGAGCAGTCCGTGAATTTGATAACACTAACACTGTAACTGGTTAGCAAGACACCATTCTAAGAGCAACTGTCTATAATCCAAAACTTCTGTAATTAAAATAAAAACAACAACAAAAAAACAAATTAAAGGAATCTCAGTACTTCTTTGGTTCTCTAACATTATTTCACGAGAAAGCAAATACTGAAGTTGGCACAATGTATTGATATTACTGAGAACTTTATACCACTTCTTAAATATATCCATACTATATCTAATTCTAAAAGCATTTACTACTATACTAAGATTGCAGGGTTTTCATGGCTTGTTAACCTTCACAGCTCTGAAATCTTTTAATTAGGAGACTCTTTTGTGAAATCCTAGGTCTTGCTTACCTAACCCGGGCTTTTTAAATAAAGAATGTCTCTTGAAGGCTTCCATTTTCATGAAAACTTACTGGGTAGGATTCTTTGTAATTATATCAGAGGAAGAAGTAGGCTTCAGCTGTCTTAGGTGCAATTCACCAAGTTTTTTCATATTTAAGTTTGACTATGTGTTATTTTTGAATCAAACTTTTTTTTCTTGATCTCACCATCACCTTCACTGTGTAGTGCTGCTATACACGAGTGCAGAGACCTAATAAAGTAAAAACTGTAAGTGTTGCCATAACAGGTGAAGAAATAACCATAACCCATGACAATATCAGTTTATTGCAACTCACACAAATTCTATTTCCAAACATATTAGGGACTGTTTGATGCTTTATTTTATTATTTTTTTCAGAGCCTTTCTTAATATCTTTCATGAACTATACCTCAAAAAAAAATAATAATAATAAGGTTGAGAATCTGTGAAGTAAAAATCTAGAACACTTGAGATACCTCTATATAATAGCCAATCTTGTTTTGACTCTTCAGTTTGGGACATTTGCACTAGAAATTATGACTATGTTAAAACCACTTAACTTGTTTCTTTACCTCTAGTCTCTTCCCATTAAATATGTCTTGCCCAAAATAAAAAAAAATCATTTCTTAGAAAAAAATCTGAAAGTTTCATTGTTTAGCTTCAAAGCTTTACACAACTTCAAAGCTATATTCTGCACAAATAACAAACTTGACTTCATGTACCACTAAATCCATTAATCCATGACCCAAACTACTTTTTAAATCTCATCGCCCACTGAACTACTCAACCTTCTCAATTCTTCTCTTGCAATGCCAATCTCACCAAATCAGAGCATTTACCAAAGACATCGTGAACTTTATCCCTCTGTGCTTTTGTTTACATTTGTCCCTCTACCTGAATGTTCCTCTCTTTCTGATCCCTCCAAGTCCCTACTCAAATAGCACTTTCTCTATGAAATGTTCCAATCCTCTCTCCCCAAGAATTTGATAAAAATTCCTCTGTATTCCAATAGGTCCTTGATCAAAGCTTTATTTTAGTAATTCTCACACCACATTACTTAAAAACAAAACAAAGCACAACAAACCCGTGTGGCTCTCCTTCTAATTTCTTAATTCCTCAAAAGTAGGGGCTGTGTCTTCTCTCTGAACTCAGGGCCTAGCACATAGCAGAGACTCAATTAGTACTTGCTGACTAAGTAATAAAAGAACTACTATGTGATATTCTTTTTCCAGCAATGACTTAGGGCTAATACTTCTGATGGCCAAGGGACTAATCATCCCAGATCAATGGATTAGGCAGACTGATGCAGATTATCTGATTACCTATGTGTAGGCTTCCTTTCTGCTATCTAATTCAGCACGCTCAATTTAAAAGGGAAATTATAACTACTGCCAGAGCTGAACTATACTGGTAGAGAGAGACAGAGATCTTTAATTTTACTTACTCCAAACTATGATATAAGTCACATAAGACTAGAAGGCCCTTGGCTATATAACAGCATCATGGGCTTGTGTAAATCATTTTATCTGAGACTTAAGTGAAAAATAGGTATATTAATGCTTTGATTGTCACAAGGCTGTGGGGCCAGACTAGATTGAGGTATTTTTCAATTCTAAGATCTATGATTTTATCCCTCCCTCCCTCCCTCCCTCCCTCCCTCCCTCGCTCCATGAGTGCTTGAGATCTCTTACAGCTCTAATACCTACAATTCTACATCTAGGAAAGTTGGATTCAAAGAAAGTATAAGAAGTCCCAAACATTCTGCAAGAATTTATACTGTGTCAAAAAGAATGTCTTGAGAGATGTGCAGGACAGCAGGAAAGAGACTCATGAATACAGAATACATTTCTCCAGCTGGTATTTGCTCGGGTATGTTTTGCATTTAGTTTCCCTGCCTGAATAGCTTGGGATGTCACAATTAACCTAAAGAGGCCAAACAGGCTGACTGGTAAGTAATTTTAAAAGATTTGAAAAATAGGCAGAAAGAATAAAATTCTAAATCATGTTTGAGAACTGTCTGTAGTGAAAGCACGCCAACAATAGTGACATTCTTGCACACTTAGGTGTTTGTTCTATTTGTTCAGAAAAAAACGGAAACCGAACATATAAAGAAATACATAGCTTTGACATGTCAATGATAACTGCAGAGGCTACCTTTGTTTCTGTTGCATGGGTTGTTGCCTCATAGCCATATACTGCATATCTTCTTGAAGACGATTAAGAGGGGAATCTGGCTTGACACGAATCCCATAGTAATGGTACTTGGAGTTTCCTCTTCATAAAAGAACAACAAACATTAGAGACACAAAAAGTCAGTCAAACCAATATTAATCATATAGGATGTCCATATAACTTCACGTTTGGAAAAATATATAAAAGCAGCATATTCATGTTATATATTTGTGATGTGTCTGGATACTTATATATTTTGATGGTGGCTACATTTTGAGGAATCAAAGTAAGATGCTGAATCCATCGGTTCAAGGCCCTAAAAAAGTCTTTCCTTATAAACTTTCACTTAAATATTGTCAAATAGTCTCTTTATTCCATTTAAGTTACATTTTATTTTCAAATTTATATTTTAAATTTAATTTAGAAAGGGTAATAGTGAGAAAAAAAATTGCTGACCAACAAAAATTCATTAACAGGATAAAGGGTTGCACACTAAAGAAGAATTTATAATAAAGAGGTTATACAGAACCAACAGAAAAAAATCTTAATTCTACCTTTCTTAGGTAAGTTCTACATTTTTCAAGTTCTATTACTGCAGGGATGATGAAGATAACTTCACTGATGCAAGATGTTGTGGTGAAGTCTATTATATTTAATATTTTGAAACCTAAAAAGAAGCATGCATTTATTCATTTTGAAACATATTTTATTAGTCTCTGTTTTTATGGATTCATATTAGTTTTGCAGGCTGAATTAGATATGTCACAACAGACATGGGGTAATTTCTCTGTGAAAATGGCAAATTTCCACCTAGAATAAAAACGCCACAATTCCTCCATGTTCAGGAGAAAATTCATGTTTCTTATTAGAAATGACAGTTTAGCTCTGAATGAAATTTGAAATTCTTGCAAAAATAACATATTAAATATGTAAATTTTTACAAAGAGAAAATAGTTTTTCACAAACCTATATATAGCCAGATATCAGTGCTCTTTTCTTTTCTTTTTTTTTTTTTTTTATCCTCACCCGAGGACATTTTTTCATTTTTTTCTTTTTGTTCAGATAGAGTGGGAGGAAGAGAGAAAGAGAGAGAGAGAGAGAAACATCAACATTAAAGGGACACATCAAGTGGCTGCCACCCACATGACCCAATCAGGGTCGGGGACAAATTGCAACCGAAGTATATGCCCTTGGCGGGAACTGAACCCGGGTCTCTCTGGACCGCAGGTTGACGCTCTAACCACCGAGCAAAACCGGCCAGGGCTCAGTGCTCTTTTCAATTTTTTTCTTCCATTTACAAGAAATGCAAGTGGAGTGCAGATTAAATATTTTATATAAAATACAACACAATACAATATACAGTTGATGTATTATAGAATTGTACACTTGAAGCATACATAATTTTATTAACCAACCCCACACCAATAAATCCAATTAAAATAAAATAGGAAAATAAATGTTGTGAGATAATTGCAACATAAGATATCCATAGCAATGATATTACTGAATTATGGTTAAATTTCTTAAGTTCAACAATGATGATAATATATAAAAACAAAAACAAAAGGCGTAAAATTTTACTTCCAAGATTAAAAATCATATATTAGATGAACCCTATATATATGAAAACACATGCTAATCCTGTTATATAAATAATATTGTTAGTTTTATTTATTTATTTTAATCCTCACCCAAGGATATATTTCCATTGATTCTTTTAGGTAGAGAAGGAAGGAGGGAGGAAGGAGGAGAGAGAGAGAGACATTGATGTGAGAAAGACACAGTGATTGGTTGCCTCCTGCGGACCCTGACTAGGGCCAGGGTTGGAACCTGCAACCCAGGTATATGCCCTTGACTGGGAATCAGACCTGACTCTTTGGTCCACAGGCTAATGCTCTAACTGCTGAGCCAAACCAGCCACGGCAATATTGTTAGCCACACCCAGCCAGTGTGGCTCAGTGGTTGAACACTGACCCATGCACCAAAAGGTCGCCGGTTTGATTCCTGGTCAGGGCACATGCCCAGGTTGTGGGCCCAATCCCCAGTGAGGGGCACGCAGGAGGCAGCCAAATGTTCTGGCTCATCAATGTTTCTATCTCTCTTTCCCTCTCTAAAATCAATAAAGAAAAAAAAATGTAAAAAGAAAATAAATGTAGGGCATCTGAGTACCTACACAGTTTTAGCAAAACAAACGGGTGTGAAAAATTAATGCCTTTAAAGAAAGGACTTCCACTCGCAGAGATTAGATCTTGTCTCCAAAATCCACGACAGAATAGAGCAAACCCAATTAGTAGTGTCCTATGGTACACAGTGGAGAGTGACAGGGAGTAGTGGTAGGGGTGGGAAGCAGATGACAGGGCTACGGAGTGAAATGATGTCTCTCTTGTGAGACCACAAAAGAGATGAAGTGTCCAGTTTCTTTTCAGTTTCTTACAAATCAGCATTTGTTTGGTTAGGGCAGGGAAGGTCGTTCTTTCTATCCCATTGGTGATGGATGGGGGAGGTCAGCAAGTCCCAAAGTCTTGGAATAAACTTAATTTGTAAATGGGATTTACAAAAGGTACTTTTTCATTTGTCTTTGTTTAGAAATGGTGATTTTATTTACTTTTTACTTAGTTACAAAACTTGAGAAAAGGTCTGGTTCTGGATTTAATGAATTCACTAGTTAATCTTATTGCTGGATAAATAAAAGTTCTGCATATACTTTGCTTTAAAAGAAAAGTATCTGAGTTAAAGTGGCTGATGATTGATACTGATTTTCTTCCTGTTCCTTGGTTTAGAGGTAGACAGTGGAGCTAATACAGTTTCCATGGTAGAAAGACATAGTACTTTGACCCCTACAATTGTCAGTTTTTCTATATGAGAGTTCTGCTTTCTTTATAACCCAACATTTGTTTAAACATTCCCCATAGTACTTATTTTTTTTTCTTATTCTTCTCTGCTGTGCTTTCTATCATTAATTATAAATACTATATAACAATTTTAAAAGGAACAGGAGACATAATTGTTACACAGTAAGAAATGGGGGAAAGAACACCCTAAAGTAAATGCTGCAATACTGCAATATGTACTGATAGAGTATGGATTCTACTCATTCATAAACCCAAACAACGCTAATTTTGTCACTTTCTATTTTAAAGATGTGTTTCAAGATTTGAATGGAGCCTCAGAATAGTATCTATTGAAATTCCCTTTCAGTTACAAAAGAAGCACAACAATACAGCTATTAGAATGTTGAATAAAGCCCAGAGTTTCAAAATATTGGCATGGTATGCATAACTACTGAGCCATCAGCAAGGAGATAGGAGGTTAGGTCCCAAACAATGGTTTTCACCGAACAATTATTTTCCAGGTTCAGGGTGGGGGGAAAATACTCAAGAAACAAACAGCTTTTATTTCAAGGAACTGAAAACCAGTATAGGTGGAAGAAAATAGACTTATGAGAAAACTAAACCTCTAGCAGTCTGAAAGCTGTATAATCACTTGAAATGCAACAGAAAGAAATAATTCACTTTGAATACATACAGACCTTATAAATCTCATAAAACCGACACACTCCTCTTTTCAGTATAAATTTATATGGTCAATTAGTAAGATTCTATTTATTTTATTAAGACTATTTTAAAATCCTTTATTAGAATACTATGAAGCTATGACTTGTAACTAATTAAAGGTAGATCATCTAATGTTATTAAGTATAGCATCTTTATTTTTATACTATTTAATATGGATTTCTGTAAGATTTAGGAAATAAAAAAATCCCTATCTTTCTGCCCAGCTACTTAAAATATTTGTGTTATGATAATTTGTAAAAATTATAGAAAAGTAAAAATAAATCTCCATATTTCTAAGTATTATTTTTATCATATTTTGACAAGGAAGGAAACAGAAAAACTAAGTATTCTTCACTTCATTGACTTTCATTCAATAAAACTATTCTCTATTTTTACTTTCAATCATGTATGGTTTCACAGTCAAGAATTTAAAAAAGGCTAAAAAGAGGTTAAATAGGACCATGTCATTAATGAGGGTTTTAAACATCCATATTTTTCAAGTTCAAATGATTTTTAATTGGTCTCCAGATATGAAAGGAAAAAATTCAGCTTTAATTTCTTACTCTATTGAAATAGAAGAGTTATTTATAGACATTTCAATGTTATTTTTCAACAGTCAACAGATACATAGTTTTCCACTTACTATGTTACTTTACTCATCATCTTTGGTATGGCCATTTTCAAAAAGAGAAGACAGTGATATATATTAACTTTTAAGGCATCATATGTAAATCTTGCACTAACAAGCTGGTCTGCTACTTTTTGTGTGATTTGAGAACAGCTCTTCTCAAAGCTTTGCTCAGCTGATGTCTAGGACAGTGCATCAGTCTGGTTTGGTAGTATTTGTTGAGTAATAAACTTTCCTTTTCTTTTGGGGATTTATAAACTGAGGTAATTCTGTACTTCTTATCTATATGTTATCTGTAATCAAGTACTTTCGCTCAAACAATATACTGAACAGCTGTAGTTTGAAGAAAAGAGAGTAATTTATTATCTTATTTTTCAATACTAACCTAGTTCCCAATCTCCTGGTTCGTAGCCCCATAAAAATTGACCTTATTAGTTTTCCAAAAGAAGCAGCATTGACTGGGTCCAGTTTGTGTTCCTGACAGTGTCGCAGGTAGTGGTTGTATAGAGTGCTTCTGGGAAGGCTCACTCCTTCTGCTGTCTCATAATTGTCCAACAGCCACTGGAGCTAGTGTAAACAAGACAGAGTCAACACAGAGAAACCACACAATTTACAGAAATGTCTGCAAGTACAATGTACAGAGATACTTAGATCTTCATCAAGCCTTGTACTAGGGTAGACTGTTGTCATTTAGAAGCCAGTGTAATCTGACTTTGAAAACTCTCAGAAATGTAAACAGCTATACATCCCTTATGACCTCAGACCATCTCCACTCCAAACACATGTAGAGAGAAAATAATTTTTTCTGTATTGGTAGCTATTTTAGGAGACAAACACCTCTTCAGGGAATTCAAATAATCCCATTAAATTGTCATAAAAAATAATTTATAATTGTTACAGAACAAAATATGTTACTAAACCTAGCAGCATGACACACAGGTGTCTTTAGAGCTAGCTTGTTGTAAGACATGAACAGCAGGTTTCCCTGTATGATTTTTTATATTAAGGTTTTATTCATTTGATAAAATTGTAATTTACTTACACAAGATAATACAATAATGGTATTTAACTACTGAGACAGAATGTTGCAAGCAGAAAGAAAAAAAAAGTTAGTAATTTCTTCCCTAGAAAGAAACTCACTAGATATTGGTAAAAAAAAAAAAAAAAAAAAAAATTATATGTAAAGAAAAGGAATCATTTATTATAATCATTTAAACTTTTCTACCTCAAAACTATTGGTTTTTGTTTGTTTGTTTGTTTTTTCCATAATTTTGGAAGGCACACTACAATTGTAGTTGGTAAAGCAATATTTTCTCAGTCATAGTTCACATTTTAAAATTTTATGTTCTGGGTGTATTTTTAAAAAGTAATATTTAAAGTATAGAATGAGCAAGAAATTTTTAGAAAATCTAACCTAGGTATGTATTATTGACTTTTAATATTAGCAAATTATTAAATTTAAAATTAAATTATTTTTTTGTTCATTTATTTATTTACAAAAGGAGAACTAAAATAGATTTAAATGACTTTCTTAAGGTCACATATTATCTCAGTGGTTGGCCTGGTTTCCAACGCATCTCCTGATTCCGCACATGCTAGCTGCTATTTCCACAAAGGCAGCAAGTAAATATTCCACTATACTTGTCCCAACACAATTCTCATGCCCTGTAGCAGTATGATAAAGAGTTGATATTTTACATGCAATTCAAAGAAATATTTCTGTAAACTACCCGAACTATTTACTAGTTTTCTTTTAGCATTTAATTATATAAAAGTAAAGACAAATATCTAAAAATGAGTTTAATAATCTCTCATGGTCAAGAAAATTATAGATAAAAATAAAAATTTTTAAATAGAATTTGAAAAATTCAAATCCAATAAAATATTTAAGGGTATTATCATAAATTGTCTTCTATAAAAGTGAAAAATAGTGCAAATGTTAAAGTTTAATATGAAATATTTTTAGTCCAAAGGTATGTTTATACATATGAGTTAATCAGACCATTTTTAATTAAATAAATCTTTTCATAGAAAGAGAGATAATTGCAGCAAAAGTTGGCTTTAAAATACTCAGAAGCTAAATGATATTAGTCAAATCTAATGAATAATTTAGGGAAAATAAAGCTTTTATTGGATTGGCTATATGGTCCTCTGAGATGGCTGAGCAAGTCAAATAATCTGGACTGTTTGGCAAACTGATTGTTCTTATTATAAGGGTTTACATTTTTAAAGATTCTTCATTTCTAAACCAGGTTTTTAAAACAATCCAAGTTTATTTGTAATATATATGTGAGTGTGTGTATACACACATAAACATGTGTACATATATTTACATAGGATGGATGGATTTATGTACATATGTATGTATGTATGTATGTATGTCATTAGTTGGTTGAAAAATTCCACAAGAGTAGGTATTCTGGTAAATAATTTTGACAGTAGCAAAGCTGCATTTTGTTCCCTGCCTCGTTTGCAGGAGGAGGAATTTGTGTTCCTTGCCAGAAGCCTGGAGATCACTTTGGAAAAGCAGAAGGAAGTCAGGTAGAAGTAAAAGCCCTAGAGGGCGTGGCACTGCTGCAGCCAGGACCGGCTAGTGAGGAAGCCTGCCCGCAACTGCACCATCTAGGGGCAGTGCCCCCAGGGACTCACTGGTACCTGGAAACTGGTTTAAGACCTACCAGATAATACTTTGAGATTTAGCTGGGAATTATATCTGCATTGTGCATGCTTGTATTTAACCTTCAAGTTTTGACAGTGATAAAATTGTAAATCAGACATTTGAGCCTGAATACAGTATAAGAAAGAATTAATTTTACTGTAAGAGAAACTTGGCAGTTAAGTATAACATAAAGGCAAACACTCTATGCACTGCCCAAGGCATGCCTATTATAAGATATATTTTTTCCTTTGGGTATTGTGTTTAATAAAATGTATTTCAACACTAGCATTAAGTAATTTAGAACTAAACTATTGCTATTCCTTTTATTCTTTTATGTCTTATAAAATATTTGTTTACACTTATGATTTTAAAAGCCCAGAAAATACCACAGGAAATTTTAACCTTTATCTTTAAAAGCTGATTACTCTAGTAATGAACATAAATTCCTATAAGGGTGGAAACTAAGATAATTGCATCTTTCGATCTTTGCCTTTAACCTGTATTAATCAGTATAGATTAAGGAAGATGAATAGGTCCTATTTTTTTCCAAAGGGAAATAGTCATTGACAAATAAAACAAAATACATCTTGCATTCTCCAATTAACATCCAAATGTAACATTTGGGCATTTTTCCCCAAATGAATTATTATCCATTAGGACTTATTTTAAGTTCAGTTCACTGATGATATGCATTTTGATGTCTTATTTCTGTCATAACTTATATTTACAGTACAGCAAAGTCAAGGAAGAGTGAGTATAAAACAAGGTTTTGCTTTGAGCTCAATATATTTATTTCAGTAGCTAAAACCAGAAAAAGTCATGAAATAATTATTTGCTAAATTGTGAAAAGTCTATAAAATTAATGCTTAAAGTTTTTTGTGTACTTTAAATGGAATTTTAAAAAAATGCACAAGCTGAAGAACATGATGTGAAAATTGGAAACAATTAACTTAAGAACATTTCTACATTCAAATTTATGATCTAAAATATCACAAATAGAATAGAATCAAAATCATTAAATGCCGATTTATATTAATCACATCAGAGAAGGAGTATAAAATAAAGTTTTCCATGAAGAGAATTACAATATTCTAATTTGATTTAGGTAGACTACATATCCTTTACCTTCAGCATCTTCACATACAAAAAATGTAGAAATAAAAACATTTAAACTAACTGACTGATGTAAAGTTAAATCAAAAGTACCATTCTAAAAACATGGAGATTAATGTTATCACTCTAGGCCACAATTTTCCGAAGGATTCAATTATTTGGAGGAAAAAACAGCACTCTATTTTTTAACTGACAGGTGTGCATGGGTAAATGGTAGAGTTATCATAATATTCTTTCACTCAATGGTAAGCAGGGAGAAGTCCACTCTCTACTAACAATATTCACACATACACCCACTGAAGCATTCTGGATAACAAAACAATGCATATATAAGGTCCCAAATAAATATACACATGATTGGTAAAATTACTTAGAATACTGAAGGTAAGATCTGTTCCCTTCTATTACTTGTTTCTTACATCCATTCATTTAACAAATCTTTAGTGAGCATCTACTATACATCAGGCACTATTTCAGACACCAAGGATGCATCAGTGGACCAAACATAAAGTCCCTACACTCCTTGAACTTTCACTTTTCAATGAATACTTTTTGTTTGCCTACAAGATGCTACTACCGAAATAATCCATTTATGTTATTGTTAATAGACTAAAACATGGCATTCAGTTTAAGTGTACTCAGTCACAGGTGGGACACTACAAAGAATATAAAACCAACAAGTTAGACATGCATTTCAACCTGGATAATAACGACATAATAATTATAAAAACAGAGCAGCAGTACCAAAGATACTTAAGAATATGCTGAAAAGGGATACCAAATGTAATCCCCCATCCATCATCTGGTATGCAGAAAGATGAAAAACAAAGTAATCAAGTTGGATTTTACTGAGAGGGGATTATTTTTGTGATTTAACCCTAACAAAAATTTTCTGAATTACCATGAATAATCAAATGCATAAACAGAAAATAAAAATCTGTTCTAGTCCATACTACAAAATAGAATGACAACAGATTTTGGGTTAAGAAATCATGATTCAGGTCCTTCTTTAGAAACTGATAAACATGGGATGCAAATTATCGACAATTTCTCTTAATTTTTTGTCTAATGAAATTGACCCTTTGTAGAAACTGATAAATCAGAGAACTATTATCATAAAGTTGAATTTGTGTCCTCTTCAAAGAATCCCACAAACTTCAAATAATTTCATATCAGTCCTATACAGTGAGAGATAAAGGCAACTTATAGTTTACTGACATTTAAAATAGTAACAGTATTTCATTTAAAAATAACCTCTCTACTAAAGTATTTCTGCACAACTGAAATTCACCAATTAGGTTAACAGAATTTAAAATACTCTTAGGAGGTGGCTTTTGACTAGAATGCATGCAGTAGTTTACTCTGGTTGTTTAGATAAATCTCACAAGAACCAGGAGCATCACTAACTTTCCAAGAACAGAAAGACAACAGGATCTTCTGTGCTCAGGGAGAAAGGAAACCTGACTGGTCAGCAGAAACACTGAACTTTTCTCCACTCTTTCCATACCATCTGTAGAATCATCTGTATTTCTAAAGACTTGACTATAAACGTGTTTTTAAATGAATTTAACTGTACCTCAGAGGTGTAATAGAAACAGGTCACCTAGAGAAAGATTATTACTGCATCAGGCAACATTTACACCCACTCTCTTTCTATTGAAATGTCTCTGGCAGTTATAAACAGTAAGGAAGATCTGTCACGCTATGTAATAAAAAAATATAAAGCCATGGAGTGACAAATATTTAACTGTTGTTTATGCAGCTTAATTCACACATTCATTAACACTAAATACTACTTTATGAATTCTAGAAGAAAATAATAATTTCCTAAAACCCAACATATTTGAGAAGTTTCAAACCAATCAACAAATAAAACTATACAAAAATTCTTATATCCACATTATTGTTCATGAAAATACTAAGATGAATGATTCAAGTTAAAATTAAACATATATTTACTAAACTATGTCTCTGAAATGGAAATTGAATATCAAAACCCAACTTCTTAAATTTCTGAAAATTCGTAAACGGTAACTGGAAACTCCTAGTGGTTTGTTTTCTGATGTCCCTGGATATTTTGACTGAACATGAACAACAGTTTCACTTGCCATTTTCAAGATACAAACACCAATTAATCATCACGCCCTCCCCAAAATATACACCTAATAATATACAGTAAATCAGCCTTAACCCACAACCACAGACTCATGCTAACACAAAAGGGATATACTTATGGAACATATAAAAGAGTGGCATACTGCATACAAATTTTCAGAAAAGGGAAAAAATTATATTCGTTTCAAAAAGAAAGGCTAAGATATATTATTTTAAAATTTATATCTATAATTTTCACCAAAATTGCAGGCATTCTCCAAGTTGGTTAATCTGTTTTTATTTACCATACTTCCTCTTGAGAAAGAAACAAGACAAAATACTTCATCTAAAAACAACTGTGTAAGAACACAGTATTTAGTGTTGTGTTGGAATATAGAAGTTAAATGTTTGAGAATTCAAATCTTTAAAAAGCATATAGAAAACATTTTCTATGAGCCAAAGGCTTCAGGTTTACAGAAATAATAATAATATTTTTGAAATTTCATTTGGGTAAATAAAATTTGGACTTTTCAGTCACAAAATATGAAGAATTTTTAAAAATTATAATAATGTATTTCTAAATTTAAGAATAAATACATTGTCAGTGGGGATGGAAAACTAATTCTTACTATATTGTTACTGATATTAATTTAGCAGAAGATTTATCTAAAACATTTGATTCAAAGGTCTATGTACTTTCCCCATATATTCAGAAATCATGGTAACAAAATAATTTTAATTGGCATTTTTACTGGTTCCCCAAAATTTGGACATTCGATGGAAATGTTTACAGTTCCAGAAAACTGTCATCACTCATCTTGCACTTACCAGTGTTGTGGTGATGCTGCATCGGATAACAGTTAAAAGCTTCAAGAAATAGTAACACTACTCCTGTTTTGTCTCAAGTATTAGCAATTTATAGCTTATCTATAGCCTCACTTCTTTAGGCCCAGTGTCATTTTTCTTCAGGTCTTAGGCCCTGAGCTTCTCTAAGCAGCTGCTTCCTGCCATCTTACATAGCCTTACTGATAAACAGATCATTTTCAAACATTTTAGCACTGGGTTTGGCATTAATAATATTTTTTCTACTTAAAGAATATTACTGGACATATAAGTAGATATAAATATATCTCTGTCTCAGACAGACATAGAGAGGCAGATAATAAGCATTTACTTCACAGTAAATAAATATCGAAATAGAAAACTTAAAATGTTTAATATTGTCTTGAATTACATTTTACAAGTAAAAATAGCAGCTTGTTATTAACTTGGAAATGTTATTTCTGTACCAAAACAGTACAAAAACTTAGTAAAGCAATACATTGAGGACTCTATTTTTAAGATATTCCACTGTACAAAATAGCCAGTAAGTGATACAGAGATCATAGGGGCTGAGAAAGGAAGGTTAAGAAGCAAAATAAATAAGTAAATAAATAAAACAAGCATTTAGAAGCCAGCAACACATGCAGAACAAGCAAGAGATTAGTTTACACAAAGAGGCAACTTACATGGCTGTTGAGAAGAGAGCTTCTGTGAGTGGACAGACCGTCAGACTTTTGCAGCGTCTCAATCGCCATTTCAATCTGATAATAGATGTCATTAAAAAAAGGGCTCAAGACAAGATAGTAATAAAAGGCTCACCAGAGAATTTTTGATAGATTTTTAAAGTTCAATTTCTTCTTGAATGGTGGCAACTGAATAACTCTCACTAAGTGTATGTCCACCATCTTCCCCCACCCCCAAAGAATAAAATAAAATAAAATAAATATATGCACACCAGTAATAAGCCCAATCACAAAAGTAAACCTTTTTTTTTTTTTTTTAACATTCTCTAATTTTAATCAGAATGGAGACCAGAGGAGCAGGAACCCCAGTGGATTTTTCTAGTTATGAGAAAAAAATTCTTGACTTTCATAGTTCAAGATGAGGGACAGTAACCACTCTTTCTAAATAGTCTCCCCTCAAAGACTATTTAATATTTGTTTTATTCTGTCATAAAAGAAAGATTTTGTTTAACATGCATTAGTATTTTAATGCAAATGTGCAAAGACACCTTCATTAATGTTCAAAAGCTACTAAATCTATCCACCCCTCTCTTAACCCTGTATTAAAATTTGGAAAGTGGAGGATCATTAGTATGAACAAACATTAAGATGTAATCATGGCCCCTACATTATGTTTTAGGATATGGTGGTGGGGAAGAGCCATTAGAAAGGACAGCAGAAATGGAACACAGAAGAGAAAAACAATTCAGAGCCAACAAAGAAAAGGGAGAACCACAGAAAAGTTTGATTCTACATGATCTCAGCACACCATGAGCAATCTAACACCTTAATTAAGTAGCAGGTGCCAATGAGATATGAGATGTGTTCTTGATAACCTCATATTTAAAGATATCTACCCATCAGCTCCTAATGTAGCATGTACTATAAAAACAAGTTCTGAACACTGTATTTGGCTACTAGGTTATATTAACGATATTAACTAAAGTTAAATAAAAATCACATTATATAATTTAAGAGAGAAAATCCATATCATTATTTTTATTTTTACCAACTGATCAAATCAACAATTCAGAATAAACAGTTATAAAAATATTTAATGCTTTAAAGCATAGTTAACTTACTTGTATTTTACAATGGCTATGGAAAGTAATGATGCCTTACAATTTTAACAAACTGTCACCTCCCACCACACAAAAAGAAAGGATGGCAATATCCATAGAAAATTATTTTTTTTCCCCTATCAGCTTTCCAATTTCTTTGTGGTAGAATAATTTATACACAGACATTCAGTCTCAATTATACATAATTTTCTTCTAAACAATGTGAGAATTAAGTTTTAATTTAATTTTATATTATTTTCTGAAACTACTGGTTCTTCCTCCCTGGAGTTAATGAAATGTAATACTGAGAAGAAAGTTTGATTAGAAATGATAAAACATTATTCTTAAAATAGATATTAATTAATTCATAAGCTATAATACAATTTATTCTATTAACCTTTTTTTAGATCACAAATTAAGTAAACTGACTTCTAAATCATTTTCTCTGCCAAACAAGATGTTAATAAAGTTTATCATTATACTTGAAACAAGATACATTACAGAAAGAGTAAATAAATGTAATGAGTAAACAAACATTTTACCAAAAATGTTAAGCTGTAAAACTATAAAGGACCTCAGTATTACATCTCTTAAAAGGGCACCAATAATAAGTGCTCTTCTTTTCAAAGAGAAAACATAAAAAAAAAAAAAAAAAAAAAAAAAGCTGAAATAAGTTTCAATCACTTCCAGGAAAAATTTGCTCAAAACTTTAATTTACCAAAATGCCTACATTTTCATCAAAGTTCGAGGGTGACAATTTTGAGGTTAGATTTCAATCTACTAAATAAAAATAAAAATAAAATATCTGTATCTTATCATTTTATACATTGAGATGAAAGGTCAAAACTATCAGAAATATAATAGCTGAGCAACACTGAGGGAGAAATCCATGTCTGGGTTTGTTAATCAGCCATTTAAAATTGGATAAAGCAGCACTTATTTTTTGGAAAAAAGGGAAAAAGTTAGATGATCTGCTTCTATTGCTAACTTGCTACTCCACAGTGGCCTCAGATTCCCAGACAACTCCCTAGGGTGCCAGATTATTAGGAAATGAACATTTGTGGACAGCTTCAAAGTGCTTTGGGGAGTCACAGTGTCCAGAATATATCATGGTTCAAACTGGGCTCCCTAGAGATATGCTGACTTTCTAGAATTCTTTGGACTTTGAGAATTTGGGTTTCTTGTGTCCCTTTGTAATACAGATTTTAAAAGTGAACTAGCTCCTTCGGCTGTAGAAGTGTTCTGCTCTAATTGATTTCGGCCCGTGCTGAGTTTGCAGAGGCCAGGGAACAGGAGGAAGCGTGGAAAGACAGGACCAGCTTCTGAGCAAGCACACTGGAACCTCTAGAAGCTCACAGGGTTCCAAACACCCATGGATTCTCTGAGGCTCATTAATTAGTCCAGTGAGAAGCAAGAACATCTAGTGACCACCTAGTTGATAAGAATTTCTGAAAAGCATACAAAAATACTAAACATATATTCATCCTATTTATTAAATGAAAACATTGAAGGAAATTCTTATCTCATGAAAGGATCACAGCCCTGCTTTATTTTTTAAGATAGGTTTTGTTTTTACAGTGACTGTGCACCCATCCTATATAATGTAGTATACAAGGAATCATGATAAAAAAAAATTTATAACCCAAGGATAGTATAATCTGGCAAGAGAGATAGGGTATGGCATATGTATGTATGTAGCATATAATTAAATATGCGTCACAAATAAAAGAGTAGTTCAGACATATAGAAGAAAATGAAAAGTTCTTTATTTTTTAAATTTGGGGGGAGTCTTGGTCCCCTTCTGAGGATGTGATAAAAACAATGACACTTTTACTTAGAAAAATGTAGTTAAGTACTCCTACAAAATTTTACGTTCACTTTCTCAGAGTTTATGGATTCCCCAAATTCAGAACTCCATGCTATACGATGGAGAGTTTTCAGCAGGTAGAAGTGGGGGACAGGGTGTTGTAGGGAGGAAGAATGGACTCAATAAAGCTGGGAGGAAGGAAAACACAGTGTGTATCCATAGTTGGGAATTGTCAAGAAGTCCAGTTTATAGGGTGTGATATATGGGAGTGGCATGCAGTGAGGCTGAAGTAACAGGCTGGAATTCGTTACTGGTGTGTGGGAGTCAGGGAAGAAGAAATGTCATTAAGGTTTTGAGGGAAGTGTGGGATGTTTGAAAAAAATGTCCGTTTTCAGATAAAGCCAGAAGGGTTTTATTTGGTATAACAGACCATGCCCTGCTAGTTGAAAAGATTAAAACATGTAAGACTGAAGTGTTCCCAGTAAATGTTTGTTGAATAGAAGCTTTCAGGGGACAAAGTATGAGAAGAGATTAACCCCTACAGGAATGTGTTGTGGAAAGTGAGGGTGAAGGAGGAATTAGAAGAACCATGAAAAATCAGGGAAGAGTAACTGTGAGGCCAACGTTTGATATTATAGCTATGGAAGGTTAATCAGCTCTAATATTCCAAACGAATTACTGATGTCACTCCTACCAATTAGCCTGTGATTTGGTCCTGTCATAGTTTCAGGAGGGCTATATGTATCTATGTATATGGGCAGGGGTTGGATAGAGAGACAGCAAATTAGCTAAATAAAATATGATAGTTAATTAGGATAAATTCTACTAAGCCCATTGAGGATTAAATTAATTTGTTAACTTTTCCATTATTATGGATTAGATACTTGAGCAAATATTTGTTCAAGCTTTTGGGAATTAAACCAAGCTCAAGAAAAACATGGCAGAATAGCATTTTATACTCAAAATACTGAGACCAAAGTGAACTGGGAAGATCATATGCTTCCAGTTTACAGTAGATCATTCAAAACTTAAATTTAGTCCTTAGAAAAAAGTTTTGAATTCTCCTGGCTAGAAATACGCTTAGTACTAAATTATATTCCACAGTACCCATACTGTCATATTTAAGGTAGGAAATGATGATCAGTAAGATAAATGGGAAATTTGCTTAAAAGTAGGTTCACTGAGCCCCAGCCAGTATGGCTCAGTTGGTTGAGTGTTGTCCTACGAACAAAAGGTTGCCATTTCAATTCCAAGTCGGGGAACATACCAGGATTATGGGCTTGATCCCTGGTAGGGGGTATGATGGAGGCAGCCAATTAATGTTTCATTCTCACATCAATGTTTCTCTCTCTCTCTCTCCTTTCCTCTCTCTCTAAAAATCAATTAAAAAATATATATGTATGTGTGTATATATGTGTGTATACACACATACATATTTAAAAGTTGGTTCATTGATTCAAAAGATTATTGGCCCAGCCCTGGCCGGTTTGGCTCAGCAGTTAGAGTATCAGCCTGCGGGCCAGAGAGTCCCAGGTTCAGTTCCCGCTAAGGGCATGTACTTGAGTTGCAGTTCGTCCCTGACCCTGGTTGGGGTCATGCAGGTGACAACCAGTCAATGTGCCTCTCTCACATCAATGTTTCTCTCTCTCTCTCCCTCCCTTTCTCCCTCCTGCTCTACCTGAAGATAAATGCCAAAAAAAAAAAAAAAAAAAGATTATTGGCCCAAATAGTGAACATGATTGTCTCATATATCTAAGAAAATGTTTCTCATCTCAACAAAGATATTATATCACTATAGTTTCAGACAATAAAAATGATTAAATTGTTAGATTATCAGCTAGTTAGAATTTAAAAGTGATTCAAATTCAAGAAATATGTAGGAGTTTCTTTTCTTTTCTTTTCTTTTTTCGTATGTGCCCCTAGTGGGAACCGAACCTGGGACTCTCTGGTCCACAGGCCAACGCTCCAAACGCTGAGCCAAACTGGCCAGGGCAGGAGTTTCTTTTCTAATAAAATAAATAAATACCCCTCCACCCCCAGTATAAAACAACTATGGTGCTTGCTGTGATAATGGGAACTTCATCAGATTAGTAAAGTTTCATTCCATTTCAATGAACATAAAACCCCATTGTATACAAGGTGCAGTGTTAGCTGTGTGTGTGTTTGACTGT